AAGGAGTTGGGCCGTGCGCAGTAAAGAGGTTGCAGTGTGCAACATTTCTTATCTAGGGGCAGGCTACTTCTAAGGAATTCTATAGGAGGATGCTCTGAGTCAGCACAGTGGCAAGAGAGCTGACAAGGTATACAGTCACCTGCTGGCAGCTTCCAATGATTCCTACAGAAGGATGCTTTGAGTCAGTACATAGCAACAGAGCTGACAAGATATACAGCCACCTAGGTCCGATTATATCAGAAGGGTTTTAAGCCCTCAGATGCTCGCGGGCTTGCCAACCTGAGGCCAGCTTTCCACAAGAACTGGACGTAAGATACTACAACTCCCTTACAGGAGGAGTGACTCTTGCTCCAAGCCTGCCATACAGCAGGTATCTTTATGATACTGAATACTGACGTCTGGGCCAGCCTGCCGTGTAGCGCATTCCCTTTTAGGCAGGGGCACTACCGCCTGGGCCATAGATTCTTGTCCTGGTCTGTTTTTCCCTTAAATCATGCTCTGCACCGTGTCTGCTCTAGACCTTCCTCTGACTTTTATAAACTAAGATATAATTATATATATATGTGAAAATAACTGAGTAGTAAGATATTCTTCAGGCACGAATTGTTCTAACTATAACTAATACATAATTATATATAAAGGATTATATAAAAGAAATAACTGAGTAGTAACACTATAAACCAAGATATTCTTTAGGCAATAATTGTGCCAGGGATCTGCTTAGCTCCTCTTCCTTGGTGCCCAAATGGGGGGTTACCCACATAATCCCAGCATTTTGGGAGGCCAAGGCGGGCGGATCACGAGGTCAGGAGTTCGAGACCAGCCTGACCAACATGATGAAACCCTGTCTAAACTAAAATTACAAAAAAAATTAGCCAGGTGTGGTGGTGTGTGCCTGTAGTCCCAGCTACTCAGGAGGCTGAGGCAGGGGAATTGCTTGAACTCAGGAGGTGGAGGTTTGCAGTGAGCTGAGATCGCGCCATTGCACTCCAGCCTGGGCAACAGAATGAGACTCCGTTTCAAAAACAAAACAAAACACCTTGCTTTTGCTTTGCACTGCGGACTCACCCTGAATTATTTCTTGTGAGAGATCCAAGAACCCTCTCTTGGGGTCGGGATCAGAACCACTTTCCTGTAACATCTTCATCTCTATGTGTTTAAGTATTCAGCTGTAAATAATACAGCCACAATGTCATTATTATACTAACAAAGTTAATAGGAATTCCTTAGTAAAATCTAAGGACCACTTCATAATCAAATGTCCCCAATTTTCTCAAAAACATATTTTTGTAATTGGTTTATTCAAAGTAAGATTCTCAATTTTTTATTCAGAGACACAATCCAAATATCTAACATCATTTTAAGATTGAAGTCTATACTTAGTGTTTAAAACAACTGTGATCATAAAACACACTGTGATTATTACTACTGAATCTTTCTTTATCCCAAATTCAATTTAGAAAAATTCAAGTACTGTGAATATTCCCATCAGTGTTGGGGGAGTCTGTCAGATAGTTATTGACTGAAAGTCAGCAGAAGTTGGCAAAAATTATGTCTACACGGTGTTCATCAACTGACTAGTGTCAATGTATGAGAAGTAAAAATTAGCACTACACTGATGGTAACCAACCAAGAAACAAGGTGGATATAGACAACAGAAAAGATACAATTGGACCTGCCATGTGGGAATGGTCTGATGGGATGAGTAGAATGCCTAGACTGGAATGTCAATAAATGTAAAAGGCAGTGCCAAGTTCTGACATTTGTACATCAAGGTGCATTGCTGATGAAACATTAACAGAGACTGGGTCATTGTCACCATCTCTTTTTATCTATAGGTCGGCAAGTACAGTTAGGAGGATTTTTCCTTTGGTCTTTTGGTCTGTAATTAACATATGTTTATTCCAGGAGGCAGTAAACATCTTAATTCATGCAGTTACTTAGGTCTCATATTCAAGGTTTAGCATATAAATGGAAATTGAGTTACAAAAAATTTCACTGTTTCCTTAAAAATATAGTAGTCAGACAGTAAATGCTGTTACACAGAATACATTTTTACAGAAACAAAACAAATCATCACTGTCTGAGGATTATTAAACTTTCTTTTTTTTTTAAAGAGTTTCAATGGAAGACAGACATCTTCAACTCTCCCTCTAATGAGGAAAGTTTCTGAAAGAAGTGGTACAGCGGTTAGTTCTAGAAAACAGAAACATGTTTCCTCTGAGATAGACCTAGAGAAATCCCTTCTCAATAAAGTTTCCCACCAACTAATAGAAAGGAAGAATGAGTGGTGGCTAAGAGGATGGGGATGGTATTTTAGCAGGAGCCATTTTAGTTAGAGCATCCATGAAATGTGAAAACTAACACAAAGACCTAGGTCAGAGTGACTGTCAGAGATGTGTGAACTCCATCTTAAAGACAAGCTGGGTAAAATGAGGCTGAAACCTATTGGGTTGCATTCCCAAACAGTTAAGGCATTCTAAGTCACAGGATGAGACAGGAGGTCAGCACAAAATATAGGCCATAAAGACCTTGCTGATAAAACAGTTTGCAGTAAAGGAGCTGGCTAAAACCCACCAAAACCAAAATGGCTACAAGAGTGACCTCTGCTCGTCCTCACTGCTACACTCCCACCAGTGCCATGATAGTTTACAAATGCCATGGCAATGTCAGAAAGTTACCCTACATGGTCCGAAAAAGGGAGGCATGAATACTCCACCCCTTGTTTAGCATATCCTCAAGAAATAACCATAAAAATGGACAACCAGCATCCCTAGGCGGGTGCTCTGTCTGTGGAGCGGCCATTCTTTTATTCCTTTACTTTCTTTAAAAACTTGCTTTCACTTTGCACTGCAGACTCCCCCTCAATTCTTTCTTGAATAAGATCCAAGAACCCTCTCTTGGGGTCTGTATCGGGACTCCTTTCCTGTAACAGGACCTCAGGTATGGAAGTCTGATCACAAACTCAGTTGTTACCTACAAATTATGAGAATCTGCCTAGATCTAAGACCATCAAGAATCACTCTTCCTTAGATTTCACATGCTGCTTGGTCCTTTTTATTGGGCCTGGATTTTTGGGCAATAACCCTAACATAATTCTGCAGACCTTATATTAGTCATGCAATCTGCATTTAGATTAAACCCTGAACTTCCATCTTAGCTTCTCCTTATGTTTTCAGGCTACACAGTAGCATCTCTTTGTCCACTGACTGATAATATCCTCTCCATCAAGAGAAGCCTCTGGAATATATAATACATTCCCCTGCCCTAAATGAACTCCTTGGCTCAGTCAATCAGAACTTCACTGACCTAATGTTAGCCAGAAGAAGGACTAAAATATTCTCATCTGCAAAATGTGTGCTTGCCCTAGGCAATAGATAAAATTCTGAAGAGTTATAAAATCCCATTGTGGGGGGCACTGTTGGCTGAATGGCGCCAACAGACACGGGTCCCTTTAAGGGTGGAGGAAAAGAGGGCAATAGCTTTTCTATTGGGGGAGGAAAAGGCTCTGGTCTGTCCTTATCCTCACTAGAAAAAAATCTTCCTTATTCCTCACAGGAAGGAATGAATTGGGGAGAGAAGTCTCTCCCTGTTCTTCTGGTTCCTGTTTTTCCCTCTCCTTTAAATCTGTTGAATTCCCTTCAGGTGGAGAAGATGGGTGGTCTGACTCACTGCAATCTGGCAGAGAAACAGGATACAAGGCAGAGCATACGCACCACAGCGCCCAGGTGCTTAAAATAGTAACATTAGTAAAGTGACCTTGCTCATATCCTCTCTTCAGGCAGCGACTTACCTGCTCCTGTAACTCTAAGGCTCCTGATCAGGAAACCAAGGGCATTCCTGCCGAATTAAGAGCATAAGCTGTGTAGAGCTCCAGGCTCTACAGTGCACTGGATAGCTTTAAGTAGCTGTTGCACTGTTTTAAAAAATACTTTCTGCACTTTGGTCATTTCTTGACCCATGATAAGCTAACCCCTGATATTTTACGTGTGTGTCCTGCCCTCCTCATGGGAGTCAGGACTACCCCTTGCCAGGATTCCCTGAAAATTAATGAGCTCTCCTCCTTCACGTGTAACTTCAAGTCTATCACGTCGGGGTCACCACTTGCAGAGCTTATAGCTTGCAGTCAACGCCGAGAATGAAGTACTCAGATGACTGCAGCTGAGCGGGGCTGGGGGTAGCTCTTCTGAGAGAGTCCGCCCCAGCATCTGTACGCCAAGTATTTATTGAAAGGGCTTCTATTAACTACAAACATCCACTAGATGGCCATTTGAGGTGGGTTGCTGAGGCACCTGTGACCTTGTTCACACTCAAACTGCATTCTCAGGAGGCTGTTTTCAGTGTTCCTTATCACACCACACACTCCACTCCCTGTCCTGTTTTCAGGGTCAAGGAGTTTCATTTCCATGCACAAAGAACATACAAACAGTGCCTCAGTATTTTTCATGCCCCGGCCTCAAATGCCATGTACATAAGCTTGAATATGATGCCATGTGCCCCCCACCCCCATGATTCAAAATCAATATTGCATGGAAGTTTTGCTTTTCTATTCTGGCTCACTATTTCTTAGTGTAATGTTTTCTTATTAGTATAGTTATTATTTCTGAACCAATATCTAAATGTGAGATTTAAACAAATCTAGTAGAAAGGATGCAAGATAAACAAAGAGCACTTTAAAAAAAAAAAAAGTCAACAACTTGGCCGGGCATGGTGGCTCACCCCTGTAATCCCAGCACTTTGGGAGGCCAAGGCAGGTGGATCACCTGAGGTCTGGCTAACATGGTGAACTCCTGTCTCTACTAAAAATACAAAAATTAGCTGAGTGTGGCGGTGTGCACCTGCAATCCCAGCTACTCACAAGGCTGAGGCAGTAGAATTGCTTGAACACAGGAGGTGGAGGTTGCAGTGATCTGAGATTGTTCCAGTGCACCGCAGCCTGGGCAATAGAGCTAGACTTGGTCTCAAAAAAAAAAAAAAAAAAAAAAACGTCAACAACTTACCTCTCTTCATTGTTTTCCATCTGATTAGGGAAAGCAGCAAAGTCTAGCAGTAATTTAATGGCATCAAGGTATCCATTGTTACAGGACCAATGCAAAGCTGTCCTTCCCTATAAGCACAAACAAAAATCAAGTACATCTGGAGTAAGTATTTTGGACATGTGGTTATTAAGGCTAACTCAAAATCAATACAAGCAATTATTTTCTCAAACTGCTTATTTACCAAAAGGGAAAATATTACGTATACAGTGGAGAAAGCAAATGGGATTTGATCCAAGTGATAGTAATTAACTCTAGGTTTTTTTTTTTTTTTGAGATGGAGTTTCACTGTTGTCACTCAGGCTGGAGGGAAATGATGCAATCTTGGCTCACTGCAACCTTGGCCTCCCAGGTTCAAGAGATCCTCCTGCTTCAGCCTCCCAAGTAGCTGGGATTAAAGGTGCCTGCCACCACACTCAGCTAATTTTTGTAATTTTAGTAGAATGGGGTTTTACCATGTTGACCGGGCTGGTCTCGAACTCCTGACCTCAGGTGATCCACCTGCCTCAGACTCCCAGAGTGCTGGGATACAGGTGTAAGCTGCCGCACCCAGCCAATTAACACTATGTTAAGGGGCAGCATATATCTCCAATGGTAATACCCTGAGAAGGATTCACAATACTTATGTAATATTCCAACCAAAAATGTGAAACCTGATTCTAATCATGGGGAAACATAAGATTAACCCAAATTGAGTCAAATTCTGTAAAATAAATGGCCTGTATTTGTTAAAAATTTTAATGTCATGAAAGATAAAGATGAAGCATTGCTAGACATAAAGAGGGACACTGTATAGTGTTAAAGGAGTCAAAAAGGAAGATATCAGGATGCCAAATTTGTATGGATCTAATAACAAAGCTTCTAAATATACAAGGGAAAAATCAACAAAACTGAAAAGGGTCAAGACCATAATCATGGTGGAAGATTTTAACCCATCTTTTAAAACAGCTGATAGAACAGACAAAAAAGGGCAGTAAAGATATACAAGGCCTAAACAACACATCCTTTGAAGAGATGAATATCAAGGTATTTTGTTTTGTTTTGTTTGGTTTGTTTGTTTTGGTGCTCTAGGTAAGGAACGAAGAAAATTTAAAAAAAGAAAAAGAAAAAGAGAGCGAAAACAAACACACATTACCAATTTATGAAATAAACAAAAACTCACTACAAACATAAGAAGGCCCTATAAACATAAGAAAGATAAGGGAATATGTGTGTGACAAAATTTATGCAAATACATTTGACATTTTGAATAAAATGAATAAATACCTCAAAAAGTTCAACTTACCAAAGCTGAAAGAAAAATAATTAGAAAATTTGAATAATTAATGGAAGTGAATTGGTTGTTTAAAACTTTTACACACAAAAAACTCCAACTCGAGTTAACTTCAAGAGGAAATTCTTCCAAATATTTAAGGAAGAAGTAATACCAATTTTATTCTCCCAGAGAATAAAAACAAGGGACTGCTTTCTAAATCTTTTTTTACAAGGTTAGCCTTACCTTGCTACCAAAACCTTGCAACTATAATACAAGAAAGGAAAATTATAGGCCAATCTCTCTCATAAACATGGATGCAAAAATCTTAAAATATCAGCAAGTAAAATCTATTAGTATATAAAAGTGCATAATATATGTGGGGCTTACTCCAGAAATGCAAGCGTTGTTTAACATCTTAAAAAAAAAAAAATCAATCAATGTAATTTGCTGTATTAACAGAAAAGAGGAGAAAAAATATCTGTTGATGAATGCATAAATAGTATTTGATGAAAAGCCAATTATGATTTTACTCTTTTTTTTTTTTTTTGAGATGGAGTTTTAATCTTGTTGCCCAGGCTGGAGTGCAAGGGTGTGATCCCGACTCACTGCAACCTCTGCCTCCCATGTTCAAGTGATTCTCCTGACTCAGTCTCCTAAGTAGCTGGGATTACAGGAAAGTGCCACCATGCCTGGCTAATTTTGTATTTTTTTTAGTAGAGACTAGGTTTCTCCCTGTTGGTCAGGGTGGTCTTGAACCCCCGATCTCAGGTGATCCGCCCACCTTTGCATCCCAAAGTGCTGGGATTATAGGCGTGAGCCACCTCGCCCAGCCCAATTATGATTTTTAAAAACTCTTAGCAATTAGGAATATAAGGAAATCTATAGCAACATCTTACTCAATGATAAATTGTTGAAAACTTGCCATCTGAGAAACCAGAGTGAATAAAGGATGCTAATTATCACCAATTCTATTCAATATTGTATTGAAGGTTCTAATTCAATATGGCACATCAAAGAAACAAAAGGCATAAAGATTGGAAAGAAGAAATAAAAATGTTATTATTCAGATATGCATGATTGCTTATGTAGATAATCCAAAACAATACACATAACAGCTAATAGAACTGGAAAGATGCTTTATATGCTACTTATGTAAAAAACTGACAATTTAGCTAATAGAACTGGAAAGATGCTTTATATGTTACTTATGTAAAAAACTGGCAATTTAGTAAAACTTTAAAAGTACTACAAATTAAAAAAGATGCATTCCTGGTATCATAAGGATAAGGACCACATTTTGCATACTTTTCTTTATGTTACTTTTACATACAGTAACAATCCTGATAAATACTTGTTCAATGAGTTTGATAGGTACTTGAGTTAACAGGGACAATTAATTTTCTGACTTGGAAAACATTATTAAAATGCAAATATTTTTAAAGACTTAAAATAATTTAACTAGCAAGAAAGTTAATACTGGCTAAACTGAAAGAAATTGATACTACACATTTGGGGAAAGTATAGATTAACCTGAATCTTTTAGAAATCAGTTTGGCAGTATATATCAGAGCCTAATCACATTAATAAAGGACTGGTTGCTTTGAGCTGATAATCTCAGGGGGAATTATTCTAAGGAAATAATTCCAAAGGAAAAAAGTTAAATGCACAAAGGTAATTACTGAAATATTACTTATGATAGTGAAAAAGTGACCAGCAATAGGAAGTTACTTATTTAACCTAATATTTGGGTTAAGGGCATATTTTGGATCCTGAATCTCCCCTCCAGCTCCCCCCACTGTTGTCACCTTAGGCTAACTACTTAATCTACATGAGCTTCAATTTCCTCTTCTATAAAATGAGCATAATAATAGTAACTACTTTATAGGATTATTGCAAGGATTGAATAAGCTATTAAAAACATAAAGTTCTTAGAACTTTGGAATTCTAAGCCTTCATGATTATTAAAAAGATTATATATCACATAAGAAAATGGTGACAATTTTAAGTCAACAAAATGTGGTTTGAAAATCATATAATAGACCGGGCGCAGTGGCTCACGCCTGAAATCCCAGCACTTTGGGAAGATAAGGCAGGCAGATCACCTGTGGTCAGGAGTTAGAGACCAGCCTGGCCAGTGTGGTGAAACCCCATCTGTACTAAAAATACAAAAATTAGCTGGGTGTGGTGCCAGATACCTGTAATCTCAGCTACTTGGGAGGCTGAGGCAAGAGACTGGCTTGAACCTAGGAGGCAAGCAATGCAGTGAGCTGAAATTGCGCCACTGCACTGCAGCCTGGGGGATAGAGCCAGACTTTGTCTCAAAAATAAAGAAAAGGAGAAAGAAAAGAAAGAAAAGGAAAGAAAGAAAGAAGGAAAGAAAGGAAGGAAGGGAGGGAAGAAAGAAGAAAGAAAAGAAAGAGAAGAAGGAAAGAAAGAAAGAGAAGAAAGAGAAGGAAAGAAGGAAAGAAAGAAAGAAAGAAAAGAAAACCATGTAGTATATTTTTATACATGCATACATATGTATAACATGTAATCTTTTATAAAAGTTATAAAATTATTCCCAGCCTATATTATAACTATGTTAAATTATATATATAGAAAAAGACTGGAAGAGAACATAAACAAATAATAGTCATGATTAACACATGGATTTGTGAGTAGTCGCTTCATCTTGTAAACTGTTGTTTTACTTATGTTTACAACAAAGAAGAAATACTCTAAATTCTTTGGAGCAAACTTAATATAGAAAAGACATAGAATTTTTACCTCTTTGTCTTGAATGTTAGGGTCTGCATTATTTTCCATGAGAACTGCCATGCAGTTGATATAGCCTCCATAGGCTGCACACTGCAAAGGGGTTCTTCCTGCATAATCCTGGACATTTGGATTGATCTTATTTTCTATTAATATCTGGCAAACATCAGCATTTCCTCCCAGTGCTGCCCAATGTAGAAGAGAATGCCCATCTTGATCAACTAGATCTACCCTTGCTCCACCTGGAAAAGCACAAATATAATGAAAATGTCTAATATAAATAGCATTTATTAAAATGAAGAGAAGTAAAAAAAATTGTTCCTTAAATGCATTTATTAAAACAAATGGAAGTAAAATAATAACAAGTGTTCCTTAAATGCTTTATTCTTATCGAAATGCTCCCACATACATCGTCTACTTCAGATTTTTACAATAAGCTTGTAAGCTGGACTTGGTAGGAATCACTCCCTCTTACTTAAAATAAAACTGAGGATCAGGCAGGTGAAGTGACTTTTCCTATATCAAGCAACTCCCAACAAGTGGAGCTAGGAGTAGAACTTGAGGTTCCTGATACCACGCTGGGTGATCCTTGTACTTGTGCAGCTCTGTGCTAAGGAAAGCTTTATCTCAAACAGAGTATGCAACAATTCCTACCTGTTAAGAGAGACTTATTAGGAGTACTCTTATTAACCCACCTTTAATGAGTGTCTGAATCACATCTTTGTGTCCCATCTCACAGGCTCGGAAAAGTGGAGTATGTTTCATAACATCGGCAGCATCTACTTGAGCATTATTTTCCAGTAATAACTTCACGGTGCTGACATGGCCAGAAAGGGCCGCAGCATGCAAAGCTAAAAGGGAATCAAAGGAAGGTAATGAACTAGTCAATAACAATTTCACCTTTTAAATTATTATATGTCCTTTCCTGTCTTGATTTCCCCATCATTTTGAATAAATGCAATCTCAATTTTTAAAGATTCCCTGGTTTATTTTTCGCTTTTATAGATTCTGCCTTCCTTCCTTTTCGTAAGTATTACTCACACTTTCCCCTTGCCTTCTATCTTTCTCTTCTTGCTGTTTTCTTGCCTTCCATCCTGTCGGTCTGAAATGGTATCCCCTTCTCAGCTACTAGTCTTCTCTTTTCAGCTACTAGTTTTCTCTTTTTCTCTTTCAAGAGAGCAAGAGAACAAATAATAACAAAGGGAAATGATTTAAATGATGTACACAATTCTGCCCAACAACCCACTCAATAAGCATATTCCTCTAAGGGGTCATGTGACTGGAGACATCAATCTACTGTTCCTTCTATCGGTTACATGTACTGTTCCTTCTGTTGGCCTGTGTACCCCAGTGGTACTAAAAGCACACACATCCTGCTGCATTGAGTGCATTTTTAATACTGTATCACTCCAAATACAAGCCAGCTACTTCCCCAGGGCTCAATTTAAGAAACAATGAGGTGGCATGTGCCTATCGTTCCAGCTACTTGGGAGGCTGAGGCAGGAGGACTGCTTGAACCCAAGAGGTCTAGGCCAGTCTGGAGAAAACAGAGAGACTTCATCTCAAAAAAAAAAAAAAAAAAAAAAAAAAAAGAAAAACAGGAATTTGTTTCACTGGAGAAAAACTGAGATGGAATATGGTCTTCTCTCTGGTGCCTTCCTGAGGTTTTAAAGAGGTTTTTGACTACATGTGTTTCATGTTACACTGACTCATGCCTATGTTACTCCATTATAATGCTTGGTTTATGCCATCCCTCTATAGGTTTGAATTGGCCACAGTAACATTTTAGAGGCATGGGCCAGTTCTAAGGATTGTGGCTCTATATGGCCTAGAACAGTGTCGCTTTCATAAAGGGTGATCCATGGAGCAAACCTGGGATGCATATTTTTGGGCTGGGTACTATTATAATGCTAGGTGTTTAGCAGGGAATAAAACAGGTAAGGTTACATTCTAGGAAGGGAAGCAAAGTGCAACAAAAAAAGCCCAAAACAATTCCCCATCGATAAAGTATTATATAGTGAGAACTGGCGTAATTAAAGTAATAAAAAGTGTTTTGGTACGTAGAGTCAACTTAGGGACTACTTTTGATTGGTGGTTACTGAAAGCCTTCCATAAGAGCTGATGATTAAGTTGAGACCTGAACCATAAAAAAGACAGAGTATTTTCAGCAAAGGGAAGAGTTAGTACAGGACAGGAATGATTGTATGTGTTTAAGGAAGAAAGGGTAGCTGCACCACAGTAAGTGACAGTGGAGTAGGCTGGAAAGGTAGAAAAGGCAAGATCACAAATGGTCCTATCAGTCAGACTGATGGAAGACACTTGAAGCGCTATATAAAGTGGAGTGATATTATCTGATTTATGCTTGAAACAGATCACTCCAGCTGTTCTCAGGAGAATGTTTCATAGTAGATTAGAATATAAGCAGGGAGACTGGTGAACATTTTTAGCAGTAGACTGAGTGAAAAATGATGCTGGTTTGACTAGGATGGTTGGAACAGAGATGGAGAGAAACAGAATGATTTGGAGCATGTTTTAGAGGTGGAGTCAACAGGACTTGCTACAGGATTTGAAACAGAATCTGTCCATATAGCCTGGGAATCTGAATGTAAACAAACACCTCTAGTAGTTTTTATGTCATTCTTGAGTTTGGGAACCACTGACCTAAATGGCTGAATGTTAGTTTGACCTAGACAAGATTCAGACAGGCGTGAGTAACTTCAAATATCTGAGTGCTATCACATAGAAGACAGCACAGGGCAGAACATTCAGTTTAACAAATTTTGGCTCAGTATAAGGAAGAACATTCTAATAGAGTTAAGATGAAGACAGTGGATTCGCTATATTGGAGCTGTTCAACAAGAGGCTGAAAAACCACGGGTGAGAATATTATAAAGCAGATGAAAACATCATATTATATCTGTGATATTTCAGTGATTTCACATTTTAAAAGCATAAGAACCCTGTACCCCAAATGGAAATTTATAAAATACCTAACACATAAAACAAGTAAGAGTTGAGTGGCTCTGACTAAATTAGAAGTGGAGCATTACCCACTCGACTGCATATTCCCTCAGCTAAGTATTTCAGGTACCTCCACAGAAAGCTGTTGTTCTGAAGAACATGATTTGAAAAACCCAGGGCTATATTTAATTTTAAGATGACTTCTAATTCTGAAATGCTACAATTCTGTGATGTGGTATCAACTATGAGATATACTGTATAGACATATCAATGTCAAGTTTTTTAAAAAGATAAAATTTCAATAAAGTAAAAGATAAAATTAATGAGCAAATGAAAGGAAATTCCCCATTTATAGCTATTTAAATTTGCTCTATTTTTATTTATTTATTTATTTGAGACAGATTCTCACTCTGTCTCCCAGGCTAGAGTGCAGTGGCATGATCTCGACTCAATGCAACCTCCACCACCCGGTTCAAGTGATTCTCCTGTCTCAGCCTTTGAAGTAGCTTGGACTACAGGTACCCACCACCATGCCTGGCTAATTTTTTTATTTTTAGTAGAGGCGGGGTTTCACCATGTTGACCAGGCTAGTCTCAAACTCCTGACCTTAGATGATCCACCCACCTCAGCCTCCCAAAGTGCTGGGATTATAGGCATGAGGCACCACACCTGACCCAAATTTACTTTATTTAAAAATAACTTTCCTCTGAAATCTAGGTGAAGGCTTCCAAGAAAAAAAAATAATAACCTTAGGCCGGGTGTGGTGACTCATGCCTGTAATCCCAGAACTTTGGGAGGCCACAGTGGATGGATCACCTTGAGGTCACGAGTTTGAGACCAGCCTGGCCAACATGGTGACACCCTGTCTCTGCTAAAATTATAAAAATTACCTGGGTATGATGGCACACGCCTATAATCCCAGCTACTTGGAGGCTGAGGCAGGAGAATAGTTTAAACCTGGGAGGCAGAGGTTGCAGTGAGCTGAGACTGTGCCGCTGCGCTCCAGCCTGGGTGACAGAGTGAGACTTCATCTCAAAAAATAAAAATAAAATAACATAAAAATAATCTTGGACTTAACTATTGTTACTCCCTCTTTGAAAAGTGCTGCAAGTTTATATAGAATCTTAAAATTTAAAAAAATATATATCACTTTATATTATGGAAACCTTCAAACATATCCAAAAGTAGATAATTGTCCAGTGAACTCAATATAGCTATCCCCAGCTTCAACAATTATCAATACATGGCTAATCTTATTTTATTTAAACATTATTCATTTCCTCCACTTCTAATTGTTTTGAAAAAAATTTTAGAGTCATATCCTTTCATCTGTAAATATTTTAGTATTTCTGAAAGACAACGATTCTTTTTTTTTTTTTTAAAGAGAATGATATAGACCTCACTATATCAGTCAGGGTCTAGTCAGAAGACAGAAACCATACCAGATAGAATAGATAGAATTCAGTATAAATAATATTGGCTTTGTACTGAAGAAGTAAAATGGCAAAAAGAGAACACTAAGGTACCACAGAGGTAGCAAATGCAGGCAATAGCTACAAATCCTGGCCATGCGGGGGGGGAGGGGTACAAAAAGAAGAGGATGATATTATTGAAACCTAAAAGCTTAGAAGAGCCCTGCAGAATGAAAACTCAGATCTCTGAGGAATGTCTCTGCTTGGCTGGTGCTGTTGTCTCTGAGAAGGGTGTGCTGAGGCTGATCCTGTGAATGTTGGCAAAACTGCAGAGTGAAATTATGAATGTTGGAAAAAACTGCAGGGTTCAATTAACCATTGTTGCTGAAATAAAGTATCATTGCTGTGTTGAAGAAGCATTATTAGGGAGATGCTGACCATAGCAGGAAATAAAAACAAGAATAGGCTGGGCAAGGTGGCTCACACCTGTATTCTAAGCACATTGGGAAAGCTGAGGTGGGAGGAGGATCACTTGAGCCCAGGAGTTCGGGACTAGCCTGGGCAACAAACATCGTGAGATCCTGTCTTATCATTATTATTTCTTTAACTTCTTTTTTTTTCTCTAAAAAAAGAAAAAGAAAAAAAAGCAAGAGCAGGAAGCAAACAGAAAGATGTAATTCCTTGTCCCTCTTCCATCCTTCCAGTCTCCCTCCAATGCTCCCTAATGGGGGACTCTAAAACAGCACCTGTGGCAAAGGGGAAGTGTGATTTGCAGAGCCCCAGGCCCAGCACTGTGAAGAAAGGAGAATAGCTTAATCACTGGTAAAACCATAATGGTGTTATCACACCTAAAAGACACTAACAGAAATTCTATAATATTCAGTAAAGTTGACATTTTCCTGATGGCTTTAAAATTTTTTATAGTTTATTTATTTGAGTCAGGATCCAAATAATGTCCATACATTGCTATTGGTAAGACCTCTTTTTAATAGGAAGGAAGAAAAAAAAAAAACTTGTAGAGGGATGATGGAGAAGAACTCACTTTGATAGACAAGAAATGTCAGGAAGGCATCTCTGACATAATAAAATCCCCATAGAAGAAAGAACCCAGCGAATTAATGAATCTGAGAATTTATGTCTGAACTTCAACCATGGTGCATAGGAGAAAGATACTTTTGGTTAAAGAACGTATCCTTGCCCATACCCTATTCAAATACCTGAAAAAGTTAAATTAAAATCAAAGCTAGTGATAAAGTAGAAGAATATATATTGGAAATATGACAAAATTAAATGTTCAGATCATTTATAAGGTCAATATCTATGTGTCTACACTATACCCCTTAAGAAATTTAAGAACTGTTGTTAGGCTTTGATAGATAAATACTTTTTTTTTTTTTTTTTTTTGAGATGGAGTCTTGCTCTGTTGCCAGGCTGGAGTGCAGTGGTGCAATCTCGGCTCACTGCAACCTCCGCCTCCTGGGTTCAAGTAATTCTTCCACCTCAGCCTCCCGAGTAGCTGGGACCACAGGCGCGTGCCACCACGCCCAGCTAATTTTTGTATTTTGAGCAGAGACAGGGTTTCACCATGTTGGTCAGGATGGTCTCGATCTCTTGACCTCGTGATCCGCCCACCTTGGCCTCCCAAAGTGCTGTGATTACAGGCGTGAGCCATAGTGCCCGGCCAATAAATATTTTTGAAAGTTATAGTCTTTATCATAAAATTGAATTGTCTTCTTAAAAGAATTTTTTTGAGGCTGTGGTTGTTTTGGTATAGGGAGGGGGATTTTAAGTGCAGCAACTCCCCTCCCTTCTTTCCCCTACTGCCGCATAAATAGTTTTGGTGGCCAAGAAAAATCTTATTCAGGATAACAGTAGATATAAATGGCTCTAGTATGTTTCTACTATTAAAAAGAATAACACGGAGAAGCCCCTTACTGATTTTTTATTCTATTCAGTGTTATTGTGGTGGTATTTCTCCTTCTCTTTCTGAGTTGTAAATAGGACACAATATACACAAGGAAGAGACCTCCAAGTTGACACTGAGGCTGAAAAACTACCTCATTAACCAACACATAGTTAAAGGCCTCTCCTATTAGAGAAAGAAATTAAAAGAAGCATCTAACAAGAGTTTTTGATGCAAGGTTGATTTGAAGCTTTGAAGCTTCTAGAGCCACGGGAGGTTATCTCTAAAAATGGGAGATTCAGGATGTGGTAATGCTATTCAAACCTGAGAAAAGAGCACAGTAAAGGATACTAGTGAGAATACACTTAGATGTGTGCATTCCTTAAATGCAATTCTAAATTTTTGAAACTATAATTAATAACTACTAAATATGCATAGCTTTAAAGTATACTTTTTTTTTTTTTTTTACAAAAACATAAATGATCAGAAGAGTCCCCATTATCATGTCTAAGAAGCAACCAGATAACTAAATGCAACCATTTATTTGGTAGAAACATATGCTAATCTTAGCCATAATACTTGGAAGCAATACAGCCTTTGGAGTTACAGCCTGGGAAACCCAAACTTAAAAACTTTAGACCAAAGTCAAACAATATTAGATTAGAAACAATGATCTCAAGTTGCTATTTTACAAGTTTTATAGCACCATCGACACTTTGGAACCTGAATAAAAGCAAATTGAATGTGTCTACCAGTTCTCACCTGTACCTCCGTATTTGTCAGCCATGTTAATATCAATGTCCGATTTTAAGCTCAGCATAGTCCTAAGGACATCATCGCTGCCTTTGCCAGCTGCCCACATAAAGGATGTTCTTCCTTCCAAGTCTGAATCATCTTTCACTGAAGGATGTTTTAAAAACACTTTAACTGTATCCTGTAAGAAAACTTGATTTAAAAAATGGAGACAAAACAGTAGTATTTTCTGTGGTAAAAAAGTCATATAATAATATGTGACTTCCATTAAGAAGCAAAGCATTTTCTCCTTGCTTTTGAATCTAATTAAATTATCTTTTTATTAATGACAGAACTACAATTTCCACTGAAGATATCAATCCTCTGTCCTTACAAATTAGTTGTAGTTTCCATAACACTTCACAAACATCACCTAACTTTCCCACTCAACATCCTCAAAATGGAAAATAATCATCTTCAATCAAGCTTGGAAACCTTATAGGTCATTGTTTGAGTGACAGTTAAAGACTCACAAGTATTCAGTAGTTTATTTATTAATGACAAAAATTAAAATATATGTTTTCTTTTTTTTTTTGAGAGGGAGTGTTAGTCTGGAGTGCAGTGGTACGATCTCGGCTCACTGCAACATCCTGGGTTCAAGCAATTCTCCTGCCTTAGCCTCTTAAGTAGCTAGGATGTGTCAACACACTGGACTAACTGTTGTATTATTAGTAGAGATGGAGTTTTACTATGTTGGCCAAGTTGGTCTTCAACTCCTGACCTCAAGTTATCTGTCCGTCTTGGCTCCCCAAAGTGCTGGGATTACAGGTCTGAGCCACTGTACCCGGTCCATAAAATATGTTTTCTTGGACATTTTACACGAGGCCCATCAATTCAGGCATGCCTCCAGAAAAGGGTCTGCATTCTCTCATTGCATTTTTTGTTTGTTTGTTTTTGCCTTAAATCCAGGAACTGATTGGAACTATGTGACTAGTTACTAAACATTTTTAAAATGGTTATGTATTTATGGAATGGTGATCGACGGTTGTTGAGAAAAAAGTGCTCAATTCATTAAAATAAATATTTATTTAGCAATTCCTTTATTACGGAATTGTCCTCCTGCGAAATCATGTAAAAATTAGGACCCTTGACAATTCTATTAGTGCCTCAGAATTTTAATGCGGGTTAATATTCCAGCATTTTAAATTGCCTCTTTCCTCAGAACTCAAACTCATACAAACTTTTAGAAAGATCATGGAAACTGGCCGGGTGTGGTGGCTCACACCTGTAATCCCAGCACTTTTGGAGGCCGAGGTGGGAGGATCACCTGAGGTCAGGAGTTTGAGACCAGCCTGACCAACATGGAGAAACCGTGTCTCTACTAAAAATACAAAATTAGCCAGGCTTGGTGGTGCATGCCTGTAATCTCAGCTATTTGGAAGGCTGAGGCAGGAGAATCGCTTGAACTCAGGAGGCAGAGATTGCAGTGAGCCGAGATCACGCCATTGCACTCCAGCCTGGGCAACAGAAGCAAAATTCCGTCTCAAAAAAAAAGAAAAAAAAGAAAGATCCTAGAAACATTTGCTTGAATGGAGGTGAAAGAGTTTCAGACAAAAAATTCTGGATGCTGTGAGCTGATGAAAAATGTATAACATGTTGGCTCAGTATTTTACAGAAAGAAGACTTTGAGGCCTCATCTAATCTAGTCCCTTATTTTACAGATGAAGAAATTTAGGTTCCAAGGTCATATAAATATTGGTGGCAGATAAAGTAATATAATCCAGGGTTAAATCATAGCACTCCTTCTACTGCATCAGACATTGCTTTCTACTTTTAAGACTATTTGTTGAGTTACTGAGGTATACTTAGTGCTCCTAAAGTCTAATGGATATGCTTATTAGGCATAATAAACCTATTTGCATAAAGAAATGAACTTTAAAAGTTTGTGATTTTTTGCTTTGTTTTCCTTTACTAATTTGCAAACATGTCTTTGCTGAGTATGTTTTTACTTAATGATGAATATTTACAGGGCTCTGTGTGTGTAGGGGAATGTGTCTGTATTTTTCAAGAAGCGAGTTGTAACTTCTTGTCAGTTAATAGAGGACAAGGAGATCAAGGGACTTGAAACTGAGCTTATAAAATTTGTATAATTATTTAAAATCAACTCTGGAATTGGTGGATTACCCAACAAAATATTTCTTTGAATAAAATTATTATATTATTATAGTATTGAATCATTATAAAGAATAATGTTCTACCATTTTTTCTTGTTTCCACTAGCACACTTATTTTATTATTGGTGTCTGTATATATATTAAATCTGGGCTCTAAGTTTTGTGTTCAAGACCATGAACAAGTCATTTAATCTCACAGAACCTTGTTTTGTTTTGTTTTGCTTTCTGTAAACAGGGGATAACTTGACTTATCTAATAGGCTTGTGTTGATTTATGGGTTAAGCTCTGATTTCTATAGATTGAATAGACTGGGTCAAGTTAATTTTCTATCTATTTGTAATAAGAAAAAGCTTCTCCTAAAATACTGCTTTGTTAGGTGATAACAGATAATGATTTGTCAAAATGCTAGGTGGTAAATTCAATAAGGTTAGGAATACCAAGAAGGAAGGATTATAGGAATAGTTGTTCCGGATACTCTAGTATCCTGGATTTGAGTAGGAAGGGTGTGAAGATAAGATATTTTAGAGATCTTAAGTATTTAATAGAGCATTTGGAGAGGTCACAGAGATGAAATTATACTATGCTTGATGATAGATTTATTTATTTATATATATATTTTTTATGAGATGGAGTCCTGCTCTGTTGCCCAGGCTGGAGTGCAGTGGTGCCATCTTGGCTTACTGCAACCTCCAGCTCCTGGGTTCAAGTGATTCTACTGCCTCAGCCTCCCGAGTAGCTGGGACTACAGGCATCTGCCACCTCGCCTGGCTAATTTTTGTATTTTTAGTAGATGGCTATGTTGGCTGGTCTCAAACTCCAGACCTCAGGTGATCTGCCCGCCTCGGCCTCCCAAAGTGCTGGGATTACAGGCATGAGATCATGAGATATACCATGCCTGGCCTGATAGTATTATTATAATTTAATTAAACAAAGGGTTTCACTATGCATACCCATGTAGAAGGCAGCAAAATCTGCTTTAATGTGTGCATCCTTGGATGAATCTGGCTTTTTTTTTTTTTTTTTTTTTTTTTTAGATGGAGTCTTGCTCTGTTGCCCAGGCTGGAGTGCAATGGCACAATCTCGGCTCACTGCAACCTCTGCCTCCTGGGTTCTTGCAATTCTCCTGCCTCAGCCTCCCGAATAGTTGCGACTACAGGCGCATGCTGCCACACTCGGCTAATTTTTGTATTTTATTAGAGGCAGGGTTTCACCATGTTGCCCAGGCTGGTCTTGAACTCCTGAGCTCACGCAATCTGTCTGCTTTGGCCTCCCAAAGTTCTGGGATTACAGGCATGAGTCACTGTGCCTGGCCAAATCTGGTTCTTGATAGCTATTCATACTCAGGAAGCTGAAGTAGTCTGGACACTATCATGCTGTATGGGGTGGACTGAGGACATGATGAGAAAGCGGAGGGGAAGAACTATGAAGAATATTCAGTATTTTTGGAAATAATTCATTTTTACATCCTCAGATGTATAATATACATAATTATCAGCACTAGCAGTAATGAGAATACATTCTATTTCTTGAGTACCTGCTCTATGCCAAGGTATACATCAGACACTTGTCATAAATTTTCTCTAATCTTTACAACAATCCTGAAAGAAAAGGTATAATTATCCTCATCTTACATATGAAGAAACTAGGATTAAGAAACTTGTGGGCCGGGCGCGGTGGCTCAAGCCTGTAATCCCAGCACTTTGGGAGGCCGAGGCGGGTGGATCACGAGGTCAAGAGATCGAGACCATCCTGGTCAACATGTTGAAACCCTGTCTCAAAAAAATACAAAACATTAGTTGGGCATGGTGGCACGTGCCTGTAATCCCAGCTACTAAGGAGGCTGAGGCAGGAGAATTGCCTGAACCCAGGAGGCGGAGGTTGCGGTGAGCCGAGATTGCGCCATTGCACTCCAGCCTGGGTAACAAGAGCGAAACTCCGTCCCAAAAAAAAAAAAAAAAAAAAGAAACTTGTGTAAGGTAATACAGTTTGGCAAATTGCACAGACAAGATTCTAGCTGAGATTGTGCTAGTTCCAAAGCCTTGCCACACTGCTTTCAGGACAATTACACAAGGCTGAACACTATGATGCTCTCAGTGCTATTAAAGTAATACTAAGATGAAGTATTCTTATAGTAAATTGTTATGCTTAACATTAAAATAAAAACTGTATAAAACTTCAGATGTGACTCACAAGTTACAAAAAAGCAGACTATCATTTGCATCACAGAGTGAACAGCATGAACCATTGTTAAGAGATAATAGCTATACAAACACAGACAAATGAGTCTAAGTAAAGCTGGGCAGAGCTGAATAAGGACAGTGGATTGTATCAATGTCAATTTCCTGTTTGTGATATTGTATTAGATATTACCATTAGAGTGAATTAGGTGTAGGGGTGCAAAAAGCTTATTGGAAAAATAAATTAATAAAAAACAGAGTGAACTAGGTGAAGAGTACATGGGATCTTGCTATATTATTTTCTACAACTACGTATGAATCTATGATTATATAAAAATAAAAATTTTCACTAAGAAAAAAGGGCATTGTCTTGTTTTACGTACAGCAAAGTTACTCTGAGCTGCATAGTGCAAAGGTGTGGCTCCTTGGCTGTCAGATGGGATAGTTCCAGACTTATTTCTTTCTAAAAGGAGATGGACAATCTGTGCGTGGCCTGAGAAAAGACACAAAAAGGTAATTATCACTTATAAAGGACGTTAATTAATTTATGATCTTTTTCAATAAAAAAGGTAAGAAAAATCACTAACACATAACATAGCATTCAAAATGATTTCTGAACAGCAGCCCTCTGGGCAGCCTCTTCTAGCTTCTCGCTAACATATTAATACGAGGTAGAACAAAATTAAAACTTACTAAAAACTTTATGCTTCAATCAGATAAAAATGACATTAAGTATAATTGTCAGGCTGAGAAAAAACTTAGTAGGTATCTCCTCATTGCATTCCCTGGCTTCACTTTATAAAGCTGCCTAAAGCAAAGGAGGGGAAGGAGAGGAAGGTGCTTTAGAGCCAGGCCCTCTTAGGCTTCACTGCTCCTACTCTCAAGGTTCCATTGCCCAACCAAACAACTGCACAGCTGTTCTCTTCTACTATCAGGTGGACAAACTATAATAGGATCTCTTCTATCTCTGAGGCCTCCCATCCCTATGTTCTCCCTCCCACAATCTTTTATTATATTTATATTTTATAACATATAGGTAGTGATTTCAAATCCCAGAAAACAAGCGGGCAGGTATGATGAGGTAGCGATGAAGACAATACAGTGCATTCTGGAGGATGTGATCTCCGCAAGTGAAGAGCTGTAGAAAAGATTTAAAAATGACTAAACCTGGTAGTAGTGCACGTAGGAAACCTGAAATTTCATACACTCTATTGCTTTCAGATATCGGAGAATGAAGAAGATGTCACATTAGTAGAGCGAGGATATACTGCATAAAAGCCAGGCAGAAAAAAGTAATTTGAGTGGAAGTTGTGTTCACCTATCTGCTCTCCAGATGTGATATACGATGGAGTTCTCCATAACACAAATATAGACTCAAAGAAATCTTTGCCACATAGTTACTCTAAACACATTTCATTTTGTTTGAGATATAAAAGGAAAAATTCAGTAAAGACTACATAAAACATACTATCGGAAAGGGAAAAAGAAACACTGTCAGAAAGATAAATAGCATACCTCTGAATATGATCTAGAGAAGGATCCAGAGGAAAATTTCAGGGAACTGGTATCCTCGACTTAGTGCAAAAAGAGATGGCTTCTATGAAACAGAAACAGGATATTCTAAGAAGAAAACAGAGTGAAACAAAAAAGTAATGGAAGGAAGTTAAAAGGAAATGAAATGAGAAAAAATATATAGGTAAAAGAAGGAAATAAAAATATAACCCAAAATGCAATCTATACAGGAGGCGGAAAGAAAGTAGAACTTAAGAACAAAAAGTCAATTTAGTTATGTGGAGACAAATTTGCCAAGTAAGTCCAGAATTCAGAGGAAAAAGAAAAAGAGATGTAAAATAAATCTGAATAATAATTATAAATCTGATGATAAAAATGAGTGCACATATACACATCATTTAAAAAAAAACAGTGTGTAATTTAAAAACTAAGATAAAGATTATAATAATTAGGGGGGAAACCTCAGATTACATTAACAATTATGAAAAGAGTGATGAGTATCTGCATTAAATTTTTTATCTTGAATAGGTGGGAATCAATAGATACATTTTGGCTCTTGACTCTGATTCAGGTTTTAAAAAAATTTTGATAAATTTAAAAGTAACCACAAACAGAAACTAAACCCTCCTAAAAACATTAGGCAACTCAAAACCAAATAACAACAACGAATCTAAGCCATATACCAAAAAGCAGAAAGCAAAGGAAACAGGAAAAAACCAAACAAAAATTTTAAATGGAAAACACTAATAATAGCAGAATAGCAGGAAAAAAAGACCAGATTATTTATTTTATAGCAATGATCATTAGTGGGTAAAACTACTTTATTGAAAGAGAAAGACTTTCAGATTGGCTCCACAGACAGAAAAATCCACCATACGCATAAAACACATATATACACTCTCTCATCTATAAAAGTGATCTTCCAAAAGGTTAAGTAAAAGGCATATCAGGAAAATATAAAGAAAAAACTCAAATATCATAGTATTAGCACAAGCATAAAGTTAAAGCCCTTCTCCCCAAAAATATAGGCATTGAATGTGAAAAGAGGTTTATGTTACATTTCCATGTTGTCAATAAATGTGAATTACTTTTATTACAAAAATTTAAAGATATGATGTTGAAATTAAAACTAATATTTAACAGAAAATAAATTTATATTACTATAATTTAGTTTACAAAACCATGCAACATATCAGTTAGAAATTAAAATAATTAACTAGGAGTTGGGAGTGAATGGTGGAAGGAAAGGCACAGAAATATTCCTATACTCATGAAGCTCCTTCTACTGTTATTCCTTTGAGGTACATACCTAATAAAGCTGCCCAGTGCAGTGGGGTTCGAAATAAGTTATCATAAGATGTTATATTGCAGCTTTCATACGAGGTCAAGACATCAACCACAGTCACATTCCCATCAGCAACTGCAAAGTGAAGAGGAGTTCGACCCTCGTAGTCTTGCCAGTTCAGTAAAGACTCCGTTGGAGCAGCATCCTGATTTGAAGGAACCAGAGACTTCAGACATACATGGAATCCTTAATAAATTACATTAGGCATAAGTATATTTTTCTTTCTTTCTTTTTTAGAAACAGGGTGTCGTTCTGTCACCCAGGTTGGAGTACAGCGGAATGATCATAGCTCACTGCAGCCTCAAACTCCTGGGGCTCAAGCAAACCTCCTGCCTCAGCCTCCCAAATAGCTGGGATTACAGGCACACCCCACCACACCTGGCTAATTCTTGTGTTTTTTTGTAGAGATGGGGTTTTGCTACATTGCTTAGGCTGGTCTTGAAATCCTGGGCTTAAGAAATCCCCCCAACTCAGCCTCCCAAAATTCTGGGATCATGGGCACAAATATTAAGTGAGGAATTTTCTAAATAAGACCTCTACATTCTCTCTCAGCACAAGTGATAAATTCAGGAAAAAGTACAAAGCCTAAATCTTTAAAAAATTATTTTCATATTTAATTATAAAAAGTACAAAAAAGAATATAATAACCATTGCATACTAATTATCTAAATTAAAAGTGTGTCAACATTTTGCCTGATATGCTTTAGTTTCTATTATGGTTCAACTAAAGATGTATATTTTATACTTTTGTACATACATATGTATCCATAAACAATACATAAATTTTGTATGTGTGTTTTCAATATTTACATTATGGCAATGCACATACATCCTTTGGCAATTCTTTCTTTCAACAATATACTTTGGATATCTATGTTGTTACTGGTTTAATTATTAAGGTGCTTAAATAAACCATAATTTAGCTACCTATTTTCCTACTGAGGGACATTTAGGCTACTGCCATTTTTTTTCCACTGTTACAGGTAATGCTGCAATTAATGTTTCCTTTACATGTCCCTTGTAGCACACGTGTAAGGTTTTTCCATAGGCTAGATACGTAGAAGGGGAAGTGCTGGGATGAAGGATATCTTCAAACAGGTATTGTCACATCACTCTCCAAATGGTCTTATCAATTAACACACCCACACCCATGAAAATATGTAAAAATTTTTATTTTCCTAATGCTGGCACAAATTAATCATTTGGTATTATCAAGCTTACTGCATTTTTCTCTTATGGTTATGAAAGACATTTCACTGCTGTTTTAACTTGTAGCTCATTTATGAACAGGGTTGAGATTTTTAAATCACGTATTTACTAGTGATTCAGTTTGATATCTCTGTAAATGGACAGTTTACAACATTAATTAATTTTTCGACTGGATCTTTGTAGCAGGCATTATCGAAATTACCAGGCAGATTTGAAAAAGAACCAAATAGAACTTTCAGAAGTGAAAAATAGAATCACTAAGATTAAAGGTTCAATGGATAGGGTAAACAACAGAAGAGACTTATTTGAAGGAAGACCTAGTAAACTGGAAGACAGATCTGATGTCATTACCCAGGATGCAGCAGAAAGAGACAAGGACATGAGAATATAAAAGAGAAATTAAAAGACATGGAGGATAAGATAAAAAGGCTTAAAATATATATAATTGCACACACTAAAAGCAAGAGTAGAGAGAATGAAGGAGAGGTGATATTTAAAGATAACAGCTACAAATGTTTGGCAGAACTGAGATACAATAGTTAGAATGTATACCAAACAGGATTTTTTTTAAAAGGCAACACCTAGACATACTGTAGAAAAACTGTAGAATGCCAAACAAAGAGCAAAATCTTAAAGCGGTCTGACAGAAAAGACACATCATGTATAAAGGAATGACAGTAAGACCAATAACATACTCCTTAAGAGCAGTAATAAAAGGCAGAAAGTAGCAAAATAATATCCTGAAAGAGCTGAGAAAAATAGATTCCTAGGACTGTGTACACAGGATAATAATTTTTTTTCAAGAGTGAGGTTAAGAGGCAAACATTCTTAACAATTAAAAACAGAGTTGGCTGGGTGTGGTAGCTCACTCCTGTAATCCCAGCACTTTGGGAGGCCGAGGCAGGTGGATCACTTGTGGCCAAGAGTTCAAAACCAGTCTGGCCAACATGGTGGAAACCCTATCTCTACTAAAAATACAAAAACTAGCCGGGCGTGGTGGCATGTGCCTGTAGTCCCAGCTACTCAGGAGGCTGAGGCAGGAGAATCAGTGGAACCCAGGAGGTGGAGGTTGCAGTAAGATGAGATCATGCCACTGCACTCCAGCCTGGACGACAGTGTGAGACTTTGTCTCAAAACCAAACAAACAAACAAAAAACACCACTGAAAGATCTATACTAAAGAGAGTCTAGATGATAACTCGACAAGATGGCAGAATAAGAACAACTCTGGTCTGCACCTCTCAGTGAGAACAACGCAGAAGACAGGTGATTTCTGCAATTCCAACTGAGGTACCCAGTTCATTGGGACTGTTTAGACAGTGGGTATAGCCCACAGAGGGTGAGCAGAAGCAGGGTAGGGTGTTGCCCCCACCCCTAGAAGTGCAAAGGATCAGGGAACTCCCTCCCCTAGACAAGGGGAGCCATGAGGGACTGTGCCATGAGGGACTGTGCTATCTGGCCCATGTACTATGCTTTTCCCATGGTTTTTGCAACCAGCAGACTAGGAGATTCCCTCAGGTGCCTACACCACCAGGGTCCTAGGTTTCAAGCACAAAACTGGGTGGCCCTTTGGGCAGACACTGAGCTAGCTGCAGGAGTTCTCTTTTGTACCCCAGTGGTGCCTCAAACCCCAGCAAGTCAAAACCATTCACTCCTCTAGAAAGGGGGCTGACACCAGGGAGCCAAGTGGTTTTCCTCTGTGGATCCCACCCCCTCCGGAGCCCATCAAGCTAAGATCCACTAACTTGAAATTCTCCCTGCCAGCACAGCAGTCTTAAGTTGACCTGGGACACTCAAGCTTGGTAGGGGGAGGAGTATCCACCATTACCGAAGCTTGAGTAGGCGGTTTTCCCTCACAGGGTAAACAAAGCCTCAGGGAAGTTCGGATTGGGTGGAGCCTATCATAGCATGGCAAAGCCACTGTAGCCAGACTGCCTCTCTAGATTCCTCCTCTCTGGGCAGAGGATCTCTGAAAGAAAGGCAGCAGCCCTAGTCAGGGGTTTATAGATAAAACTCCCAACCTCCTGGGACAGAGCACCTAGGGGAAGAGGTGGCTGTGGGCACAGCTTCAGCAGACTTAAATGTTTCTTCCTGCCAGCTCTGAAGACAGCAGCAGATCTCCCAGCACAGTGCTTGAGCTCTGCTAAGGGACAGACTGTTTCCTCAAGTGGGTCCCTGACCCCTGTGCTGTATGACTGGGAGATACCTCCCAGCAGGGGTCAACAGACACCTCATACAGGAGAGCTCTGATGGGCATCTGGCATGTGCTCCTCTGGGATGAAGCTTCCAGAGAAAGGAGCAGGCAGCAACCTTTACTGTTCTGAAGCCTCTGCTGCTTCTACCCAGGCAAACAGGGTCTGGAGTGGACCTCCAGCCAACTCCAACAGACCTCTACAAGAGAAGCCTGACTGTTAGAAGAAAAAACTAATGAACAGAAAGCAATAACATCAACATCAACAAAAAGCATGCCCATGCAAAACCCCATCCAAAGGTCATCAGCATCAAAGATCAAAGGTAGATAAATCCATGAAGATGAGGAAAAACCTGCATACAAATGCTGAAAACTCCAAAAACCAGAATGCTACTTCACCTCCAAAGGAACTACTTGCCAGCAAGGGAACAAAACTGGACAGGGAATGAGTTTGACTAATTGACAGAAGTAGGCTTCAGAATGTGGGTAATAACAAACTCTCCGAGCTAAAGGAGTATGTTCTAACCTAACGCAAGGAAGCTAAGAACCTTGATAAAAGGTTACAGGAACTGCTAACTAGAATAGCCAGTTTATAGTAGAACATAAATGACCCGATGGAGCTGAAAAACACAGCACAAGAACTTCGTGAAGCATACACAAATATCAATAGCCAAATCAATCAAGTGGAAGAAACGATATCAGGGATTGAAGGAAGTGGTTTAATGAAATAAAGCATGAATACAAGATTACAGAAAAAAGAATGAAAAGGAATAAATAAAGCCTCCAAGAAATATGGGACTATGTTAAAACACCAAACCTACGACTGGTGTACCTGAAAGTGACAGGGAGAATGAAACCAAATTGGAAAACACACTTCAGGATATTATCCAGGAGAACTTTCCCATTCTAGCAAGACAGGCCAACATTCAAATTCAGGAAATACAGAGAACACTACTAAGATACTCCTTGAGCAGAGCAACCCCAAGAGACATTAATTGTCAGATTCACCAAGGTTCAAACCAAAAAAAAAAAAAAAAAAAAAAGGTTGAGAGCAGCCAGACAAAAACATCAGGCTGCTAACAAAGGGAAGCCCATCAGACTAACAGCAGATCTCTCTGCAGAAACCCTATAAGCCAGAAGAGAGTGGGGGCCAATATTTCAACATTTAAAAAAAAATAATTTTCAACCCAGAATTTCATATTCAGCCAAACTAAGCTTCATAAAATTCTTTTTTTTTTTTTTTTTTTTTTTTTTTGAGTCGGAGTTTTGCTCTTGTTGCCCAGGCTGGAGTGCAATGGCACAATCTCGGCTCACCGCAACCTCTGCCTCCTGGGTTCAGGCAATTCTCCTGCCTCAGCCTCCTGAGTAGCTAGGATTACAGGCACGCACCACCATGCCCAGCTAATTTTTTGTATTTTTAGTAGAGACGGGGTTTCACCATTTTGACCAGGATGGTCTCGATCTCTTGACCTCGTGATCCACCCGCCTCGGCCTCCCAAAGTGCTGGGATTACAGGCGTGCGCCACCGCGCCCGGCCATAAAATTCTTTACAGATAAACAAATGCTGAGAGATTTTTGTCACCACCAGCCCTGCCTCACAAGAGCTCCTGAAGGAAACACTAAATATGGGAAGGGAAAACCGGTACCAGCCACTGCAAAAGCATACCAAAATAAAAGGAGCAACAACACTATGAAGAAACTGCATCAACTAATGTGCAAAATAACCGGCTAGCATCATGATGACAG